ACAACTGTCACACGTCAGCCGTGTCTACACTGGAAAAGTATAGATATACTGGTAGAGCTACCCCAGCAAACCCTCCTAGTGGGGGGACAGTTTATTCTGCCAAGAATGCTTTTGCTAGTTGTGATGAAATGGTAATGTTCGGTAATATTTTTATGAACCCTATGTGTATCTCAGTGTCCTCCTGTACTTAACATTGCTACCAAGTAGGTGAGAAAGGGGTAAGTCTGCTGTCGGGGCAGCTAGAAGGCATGAGGTGTGTGCACCATCCCGCTGCCTGGGTGGAATGAAGGGGTCATTAAAGACCTGGTTGAAACCAACCCAAATAAACGGGATCTACAGAGACAATGAGAACTCCCCTCCCCCCGCAATGACTGAGCAATCAACGCTTAACAGTGGGAAGCGCTCAGAGGTGGAGTATGTGAATTCAGCATGGCTCTGCCTGAAAACGAAGGACAGAGGTGGCAGGCAGGGATAAAGAGTTCACTTCTGGAAGCGGCTGGACTGCTCTCCCCTTGGACTGAAAGGGTCAGAGAGAGCCAGAAATGGGGTCCACAGCAGCTTGGATGGCAGATGACACTATCTGGGCCAGACAGACTATGTCTTAATCTTTATTTCTCTATGCTAACCTGAGGACTTCCAGTGCTGCATTCCAGGTGACTAATAAACCCTGTTCTGTCTGGGAAAGTTTGCCTCATGCAAACACCTGCCGAGGCTCATTAGACTTTTACACTCTTCAGGGACTCTACCAGGTGTCTGTTAGTTGGACGCACAGGGCAGAGCTCACACTATGAAGCAGGAGCCTAGAGGCTCAAGTCTAGGAGCTGGTGGGACCATATGGCCAGCCCTGAAGGAAAGAGTGGGACCCACTGAAGGGGTTCCTCCAAGAGCTGGGGTGTAGCACAGATCTTGTGAAGACATGACACGGGGTACAGTTTGTACCCATTCCCCAAGCAGAACAAGCCACACTGGCATAACTTAAGTGTAGACCAAGCCTGAGAAATGGAAGTTTTGGTAACAGCTGTGGCCGCGGACCTGGTGACTGTAGGAGACAGTGTGCACGTGTAACCATCTCCCCGGGGTGCCAGTCCAGGGGCCTCGCACTCATCCTGTGGCAAGCGCTGAATCCCATTTTTAATTCTGGCCCATGGACCAAAGTGTCAGTCTTGTGCAGCACACGCCTGTCCATCCACAGGGGCACCCCGGCAACATCACGGAGATCCAGGGGAGACTCTGGTATCTATGTAGCACTGAAACGTTGCACTACTGTCATTACATGTAGTGTCTGGAACCCAACTGTCTTATTTGGCAGCCCGTAGGGAAATCTGCTCCCCCACAGGATCACCATTATTTCTTCACTGTGTTTCCCTTCCTTGTCTCTCTCTTAACTGCGTCTGTTTTTCTTTCTGCACATCCTTGTCTGCAATAACTCCCCGTGGCCACCTTCCTCCCCATTCCATGCACTACAGTGATCGTTAATTGAATAGATAACGGTTACATTAAAGTGTCATCACTGGGCTCTAGGGTTAACATATAGAGGAGATTAATAGGGCTTTGGGGAGTTCAGACCTCTCAGAGCCACTGATTCAGGCTGTCTGCAGAGTCAAGCAATCACTACTACACTGCTTACACTTAGGTCACATTTTGGAAGGGTTTTTATCAACCCTGAGAGCCAGAAACAACAATTTTTTTTTTAAATAATAATGAAAGCTTGTGTTGTGAATGTGTCATTTGGACCTCATGTCTGACATTGTTCTAGTCACACCTACAAGGCTAGAGATCAGTTAGCGGTAATAGATGACCATCATTCCCAACGGTTATGCTATCTGGCATCCCTCAAGCATCCATTCCCCATCTATCAGTGGTTTTATTGAGATAGTGTCCCTATTACTAAGTGGTGAATACTAAAATAACCCGCCCAGGTACCCCAATACGAGATTTCCTGGAGTGCCGAATAAGATCTCTCCAGATGATCTCTCTTCCTGTGTCTGTCCTCTTATTGCAGGGACTCGGTCTAAGGTAGAAAGCAAAGTCAGGAATCTTGGCACATTTTCGGCAGCCATTTCCATGGAACAGAATGCATGGGCAAGTTATTAACCTCTCTTCACATGCACAGGTTTCTTATGAAGAGATATTATTTTCCCCACCATGACCTCCCAGCAGCAAATATACCCCGGGAGCCGTACAGCTTGATTACAGCAATTCCCTCAGCAGGACTGCTCCAGCACTTGCAGCTACTTCAGAGTGCAGCCGCGCAATTCCTTGCTGGATTCAGCAACTAATCCCATCCCTGCCATGGAGCCCCCTTTAAAAGCGCATAGCAGCACTACCCAAGAGTTTGGAACAGACTGAAGAATGGAAACCACAGGGGGATTGTTTGGATAAGTAGCACGCAATAGGATTGGAGTCCGGATACCACAGCTTTTCTTCGGAAGTAGCTCTTTATTTGTTCATTGTCCATAAAGCATGTTGGTACAGCTTTATGCCAGATCACCTTGCAATTCTTTATAAGCGCAGCTAAACAAACATCTGTGTTCCTCTAGAAATGACAGGTTTCCCCTTTTAGGAGAGCCCAGGTATTTTCACCATGTGGTGGGGTGGCTTATGCTTTCATAGTTAGAGAACCAAACAGCTCAGGAGAGTTTCTGGTGTCAGACTCCCAGTTCCAGATGTGCACGGCTGTGCACCATGGACCAAGAGGCACTTCAGCCTAGTCTACACTACAAAGCTATGTTGACCTAATATCCACAGCTACATGTGTCTCTCACTGAGGTAGCCTCCCTGTTACATCAAAACAGTAACACCATCTCCCCACATGACATAAGACCACTGAACTATCTGTGTCACCTTCAACAGTCCCCCAGCAATTGTCCCACAATGCTACTCTCCCTGGGACAGCAGCTGCTCCGGTCACAATTTTGAAATCCACTGCCCACAGGTCACAGGTACCAGAAGCCTGCCCCCACCCTTCCCTTTAAAATAACCTGTGTATTTCAGGAATGCCTTTTCCTGGTGGCCCAGTTTGGGGAGCACACCTACTAGCCAACCTTTGTAAAAATCTAAGAGTGACCTGTGCTCTATGAACAGCTGCATGCACTGACTAGCACGGAGGTCACCGACCCCGCATCCTGTGCGACTTCCCTTCATTCTGATGGAGAAGCCTTGTACCATGCCTGTGACAGCAACGAATTGTTTGCCCACTCAGCTGAAGAAAAGGTATTTACCACTGTGAATTCTAACACAGCCACCAACACGCTTTCATGGACTGTCTAGATTAGTATTTATGATCATGTTAGTTAACGCAAGTCAACTGGCAATCAATTGCCTTGAGTTACAACATGACCAAAGCTCTAGTGTAGACAAAGCCAAAGAGATGTTAGCGCCAGGAGGCCTGCGATCCCAGTAGAAAATCCATATGGATCCAAACTGCTGACTGGGAGGCATAAAGCCTGGATTTCACAGCCACTGGCTCTCTGGTTTCCTGGGAATTCTTTTCTGCCTTGCCTCTGACTTTCTTGGGAATGTGCAGTGTTTGAGGATGAGACACTCACTAAATCCACAGCACATCCTCAGCAGCAGAATATAATCAGTGGCTTAATTGGTAAATAAACTAAATAAACAAGCCAAACCTTTCAGCTGATGTATGCTAGCAGTTCACAGATAAGAGCATGGGTGGAACACAAAGGACTCATACATATCACAAAACAAATGTTAGTTAACCATAGTGGGAAAGATGCCCTCCGGTATGGCTTACCAGGGAAGGGGGTTTGCCTCATCTGAACAGGGAAACATACAGCACCTGTGCCTCCATGTGCATTAGTCACACCCGAGTGGGTGGCAGGAATCATGAGCTACTAGTTCTATTAGACCAAAAATCTGTTCCCCACTTCCAGACAATTGTACAACCCCGATTTCAACCATGAGATGGTGCTGGGAACAGCTCCCAGGCAGAACCTGAAGCCATGTAAAATGTTTGCTTTTCCTTTTGTTCTAAAAGCAAATCTTTCCCAGCAAGACCCGTTCCGGGAACAGCTGGGTAAAAGATGCAAGGACAGTTGTGTTCTCCTGGCTTAAATGTGTTGGAATTCAATCACCGCTCGTTCATTTCCCTTTGCAGTCATGATGATTTGATCTCCAACTTCAGTTCAGTGAAGCAGCTTTGTTGTACTCTGGGCAAAGTACTGATGGCAGCCAGAGAAAGCTTTACAGCCCAAGCCACAGAGGACACAAAGACAGACCCAGTTGTGAAGAACTTCACAAGAACCAGGCACCTTACCACCTTTTGGACTACAATGGCCTCTCAGACACTCAGAGAAACTGCCCCGAGAGACACTCCCACAAATTGGCCTAAAGACAGCAGGATGCTGCGGGAAACAAGGCCCTCCCTGACGTTACAATAGGGGTTTCAGTACAAATCAATATAAGAAGAGTGGAGAGGTGCAGATGGCACAAACAGGAAATTTCTTTTTTCCTTACCATGCTGCAGACAAGTGACCAGTGTCTGTGTGACTCTGCAGCTAGAGAGGGAGAAAGAGAAGCTAACCCCTCACTGTTAGCAGAGACTGGGGTGTTTACTACTGCTGGCAAGGAGGAGACAACAGATTGGGCAGAGAAGTTTCCTACCTAGGCCAGTCTAAAAGTATTGTTCTGCCAAGTGCAGTTCACACATTAACCCTCAAGGAGCCCAGGAGGTAGGAAATATCCCTATTTTGAGAGAGGGAAACAGGCACAGAGGTGAAGGTCACAGAATATGAGAGTGGCATAGCTTGGATTGGAACTCAGCAGTTCCTGGTGCCCGATCCTACGTTCAGATCTTGCCCCACCTATCTCACCCAGGCAGTGATCATTGTGCTACTCTCTTGGTAGCTGTCTTGGCTCAGACACTTCTTGGAACTGAAAGGAGCGAAGGGCTCTGCATGACAGACACAGTGTGCACGTTTAACTAGCAAATCCTTAGAAAAATAACAGACACCAAACTCAGGCAACTTGGGCACTGCACTCACCTTGAATAGCAGAAAGGTACACAAAGGAGTCCTCATGTTCCATATTTTCCAAGAAAACCTGGAGGACAAAGCACACCAGTTACCTTCTTAGGGGCGTGAGACCCATGTTCTCACCTAAGACAGCTCCAGTCCCACACACTTGGGGGTGTTATCCATACTTCCCCATTTCTCTGAGCTGACCGTACCCCTCTGAGTGAAGCCTCTGTACGTTGCGGTCAAGCTGGAGTTGCAAGCAAGGCCCTGTGAGATCTGTGGGGAAGCAGCTTTTCTCTCCATCTTGTAGGCAAGTCTGGAGCAACAAGAAATTTTGAAATTCTAAACTTTGACAGCAACTAGCTGTTCCACTGCCTCCTGACCCCAACACACGCCTCTGCAGCCAGCAGTGAGGGACCAGTACGTTGTCTGGATGCTTCTGCCAGCAGTGAAATAGTAAATGCTGACAATTTAAATCATCACAACTAGGCTTGAGAGTTAGCACCCCGCTGAGATGAATGAGGACATTTACACCTCTCAGAGCTGTCATATAGGTGGATTCCCACAGCATCATGGACTGCACGTGGCCCTGGTTAAAGGGTTTGAGCCTGGGTCATGGTTGCCATAAAGGTAACACTGATTCATGAAATCTGCCAGTGAGACACTGACTCCTCAGCTGCCCATCACTACAGCAGAGACTTCCAGCTGTGGGGTGGGGAGTGGTTCAGGAATCGCCTCTGAGCCCTGCAATGCATGGAGGACAATTTGTTTCCTTAGCTATTCACAGGGAGGATGCGAGGTTTTCACTTACAGAGATCCGTGGGCATTTTCCTGTTTTAACTCTGGTTCCTCTCCTTTAGCCCCAGAGAAAAATGGAAGTGACCTCTACTCCTCCCTGAACCCAGGAATAAGGGGCAGAGACGGGGCATGAGAGGCCAACATGGGAATAGTGCCTGGGGACATTAGCCATGCTGGGTCAGAGGAACCTTGTTAATTCATGTTAGCAGGGTCAATAACTGGGTCTACCAAATCATCACGTTTACCGCTTCATGGAGCGGGGAGGAGAGAGAACAAACCCCAACAGTTCAGGGGGGAACACAGTAAGAGTTGCTGGGGCCACGAGGAGGACGAAGGCTGAGCTCTTCAGAAAAAAACTGCCAACAAGGGACCTGCATGCTCTTCCCAGACATGTGTACGGCCAGCCTGAGTCACTCCCCCAGCGCCCACATTGTCCCAGGTGTGTTGTCATGTAATAAGTGTGAAGACAAGCCAGTAAGTGTGACACTAGGTTGAGTGGTGCATAGTGTCAGAAGGGAATCAGCACATTAAACAAACACGATCTGCAAGCAAGCTTTAGTCCTGAGTTCTGCCTACCTTGAGGAGTTTCTCCTGAGCCTTTAGTCCATCTGGATCCCTCTGCTCTAACAAACGGGAAAGACGCCGCAGGGCAGCTGCTCGTACTGGGATTTCCGGGTCATAGGCTGATAAGAGGAGCTCCTGAAGCTGTTGTGGGGTGTGGTCTGCTGTAGGAGTCTCAACGGGGCACTCTTTCTGCACAGTGGATTCCCCATTCTTTCCTTTAGGACTGGGGTTACTGGTCAGGCTGTTTGTGTGGCTGCAATTTTCATTACTCTGTGGCTGTCCTAGGATGAGCCCAGCTCTTTTGTTCTCAGGTCTTTCTGTGGGGTTTGTGTGGGTCTGTCCTCCTGACCTGCTTGACCCTATTTTTTCCCCCAGGGTGCTCTGGGCAGCAGTGCCTACAGTTTGGGTGGAGAAGGCTCCGTGAGTGCAGATGGTGATGCGCAGATCAGCTGCAAGCTCCTGGATGACAGGTTCAAGATGAATGCGGGAGATCTCCTCCAACAGGGGCACCAACTGCTTTAGGATGGCAAAGTCACCCGATTTCAGCTGAAAGAAAAACACAACTGTCACTGGCATGGCCTAAAATGAGAGATGCACACATGGAGTTACAGCAGCTCCTGAGAACACTCCCCTGGGCTGAGGGGCCCAGGAGAGAGCGTGGTGGGAGACAGTCTGATGGAGCTGAATCTAATAAGAAACTTCAGTAACTGCACAGCACGGATGTGAGCCTGATGGATCAGATAATAGTGTGCCCCAAACTGGGAAGTGTGACCATTGGGTGGGGTGGGACAGCAGCTTTTCACATTGCCCTACCATCCTCACATGGAGATGTGACTACAGGAGGTCCAGAACACCTCATCCTTGTCTGGTCATGCAGCGTTTCAGACACAGAGATTTTGCGTATGCTGAAAGCGGCCGGCAGTACGCAGTCTGACTAGTTTCTGTAAAGCCTCACTGGCTCCTTCTCCTGCGCATCCCCTACCAACACCTGCCACAGTCTGCTTGCAGTGCAGTTTAGCCATACGGCACTAGCTCTGCTGAGCGGGGGGCACTCCTCCCAAGAGGCATTTACTCAGGCCTCACGTTCACTGCAGCACGGACAAAAAGGAGCATGAAATGTGCAGGTGCAGTTGTATGAGCAGTCACTTGACGAGCGGCACACACAGATCACATGTAAAAGTGTGCACAGGTAATTAATGACCATCACAACACTCTGCAAGGCCCCGTCTTCAGCCTATGCGTCTGAGGACGGAGAGAGACGAGGGCTAGTTTCATGAGTGCAGATGGCGATTGGCAGCATGCTCCAGGTGTAGGGTGAATGCAAGTGATCTCCTGCACTTGTGCTAAGAGGGTATTTGTTCGTGGTTTGAGTTAATCTTTGGTTATTTTTTTCTTGCCTAGAGGCGAGGAGCAGCTGCTGGTTCAACCTTTATGTGACTATTTTATGACAAAGGTGCCCAGATCCCAGGATTAGGAGCCTTTTGTGTATGTTGTAAATCGAAACAAGTGATTGCCTCGCCCTCCAGTATCTGCTAGGAGTCATGTGCAGGGAACCAATGTGCCTGCTAGGACTAGGCAATGAGCCTGATCATTTGACAGTTCTCGAAAGCACAGCAAGTGCGTCACCTGCCCCTGAAGCCTATTCCGGAGATGAACATGAACTAGGACACAAAGCACTTTTCACAGACTGTAGATTCCCAGAGCATAAGGCCAAAAGGCACCACTGTGATCATCTCACCTGACCTCCTGTATAACACAGAGCATGGCTTCCCTGCACTAATCCCTGTTTGAACTAAAGTGTATCATTTAGAAAAAGATCCGATCTTGATTTAAAATCTGCTTCCCAGTGGATAGCTTTTTACTTGTTAAATGACACTGACAGGGTGAAAGTGCTGGGTTATTAGGAAATACACATGAGAATTATAACATGTCTCCACTTTGGACCAATTGCCTTTGTAGTAGCCAACACCTCAACAGATCCATTGAATGGAACTCAGCAAAGGGTGAAGATGCTACTTTAGGGAGAAAATTGCTCTGTGCGTGACAAAATAAACCAAGTGGCAATTTCCTGGATTTAGCACACAGCACTGTAAAGCCTAAAAGAAACTCGGAAGGGAGAAGACTTTGGAGGGCGGAGGGGGGAGGCAGCTAAAGTCTTACATCAATCCCAAAGGATTGCAGCACATCTCCAAGGATGGGGCCAATCCCGTCTCCACCACCAGAGCCAATCCCAGTGCTCCCTCTAGTCTGTCCAGGAGATGTCTGCTTGGCCTTAAAACTTTACTATCAGGTCAGGAATCCTCAAGAGGCTCAAGAAACTGATCACTCCTTGGGAGAGGAAACGTGCCCTTCCAAGACGTGTGATTGCACACCCTAATCAACAAGCTAGCAGGAAACAGACCATCTCCAGATCTCCCAAAGAGCCTCTTGCAGCAGAGCCCATGTGCTCGGAATGCCTGTTTGGCAACAGTAAGCGTTGAGCTTTAGGACTGACCGGATGAATCAGGCTCCACAGCCCCCTTTGGAGATGGGAAAATAAATATTATCCACTTTCTTCTGGCTGGGAAACTGAGCTCCTGTGCAGTCAGGTCTCGCCCACACCACGCAACAAGAGAACACAGAAATCCAAACTCCCAGTCCCGCTGCTGAAATCACAAGACCTCAACGTCTTCTGAATAAGGCTCCATTGTCAATGCCTGGTATTTTAGCATCTCATATGCTGGGGAGACTCGGGGAGCAGGGCTCTCGCACCTACTTTGGTTTTCACTCTCTGCTGCACCAATGACGTCCTTTCCCATTTGACAAATATTTTCTCTCGAGGTTGCAGCGATTAAGGTGCATTTTTCATTTACTTCCTTATTTAACGAGCAGCACTGATTGACCCCCCTAGCTCTGGCAAAGTGCCAGCAGGGGGAGCACAAGAGCTACAACCTCAGAAAGGACGTGCAGGGCAGGGGCAGGGAGGCATGAGAGAACCACAGGGTTCAGCAACACAAGGGTAGATTATAAAGCTGTCCTCTGCACGCTCCTCCCAGGCCCTGTTTTACACTGGGGAATGCACTGTGCCCAAGCTACTCAAGAGTGTCACTGGGTAGAAGTTCCCTCTGAAGCTGTAGCAATGTGTCATGGATCTGCAAGAGGCACTGCAGGGTTTTGCTAGCAGCATGTATCAGGACGTGGAAGAGGATGGAAAGAAGTTCTTGCACTGCATTTCAAAAATCAGAGAGACCAAGTGAGGCAGGTAATATATTTTACTAGACCAACTTTTGCTGGTGAGAGACAAGCATACAAGCTTATACAGAGCTCGAAAGCTTGCCCCCCTCACCAACAAAAGTTGGTCTAATAAAAGATATTACCTTACCCACACTGTCTCTCTAATATCCTGGGACCGACACAGTTTCAAAATTCAGTCATTAGATCTGGGAAAGCAAAGACTTGAGTAGTGAAGCTAATGGTTTGCCAGTGGTTTCAGGAGATTTTTTTTGCACAATTGTGCAAAACACTTAATTGAAAACCAAGATAGATATCCTCTGTGATGGCCATTTGAGACAATACACTTAGCCCTGCAGGGATACAAAATTTGCAAAAATGGTCTGTGAATGCAGATATTCACAGATATAAAGCGGATATCTGTAGATTTGCAGGGCTCTAAATGTTAACCTAAATGTCTGCTGTCAACCACCATCTGCCCTGGGAAACCTCTCTTGTTCAATTGACTTGGACACATTAAGTTCCTTCCATTAATAATGGCTAACGAGCTGATATGAGCTAGTGAGAATCAGGTCTGGCTTAGGGGCCCATGTACAAGTGTGGAGCCCTGCTCCGCTACCTCATCCACCGTGGGTCAGGGGCACGGACCTACAGTGCACATTCTCTAGGTCTGAGGAGGTGTTGCTCTGCCAGAGAGAGGAGGGTAAGGGGCAGTTGATCAATGAGAAGACCCCAAAAGGAAAGCAGAAGTCTAGGTGAGAAAGCAAAACAAAGGGCAGAGTCAGCTTCTGCTCTGAATTTACACCGTGTTTGGCTGTTTTAGCTCATAGCTAGTAGAAGGGACAATGGCCCTCAGTGCTTTAGGCTCCCCTGCAACCAGAAGGGAAAGAAATCAACCGTGGCACATGCCCACCTTATGCGAGTGGAACTCTCCCAGGCAGTGGTTCAGAGGAAGGTAAAACCCTGCCAGGCCTTGGACAAAATTCCTTCCCAGCCTCACATTTAGCTGTCAGTTTAACCCCATGCGTGCAGTCAAAAAGTCAATAGTAACACCCAGTCCTACTTCTTCTTCATGTACGCATAACATGCCTCAGGTGGCACGTGACCAGGATTCATCACCAAATTTAGTCCGCTGGTTGGATCATTAGCTTCCCCCATCTGGGATGGGCACTGATGGGGAGTGTGACGTGAACACTGATCCATGCCCCCACCCCAGTCCCACTGACAACCTAAAATGCTGGGATTTGGCAGAGTGGAGAATTGACTTTCTGTCTTCTTCTTTTCAGAGTAACAGCCGTGTTAGTCTGTATTCGCAAAAAGAAAAGGAGTACTTGTGGCACCTTAGAGACTAACCAATTTATTTGAGCATAAGCTTTTGTGAGCTACAGCTCACTTCATCGGATGCATACTGTGGAAAGTGTAGAAGATCTTATTATATACACACAAAGCATGAAAAAATACCTCCTCCCACCCCACTCTCCTGCTGGTAATAGCTTAGCTAAAGTGATCGCTCTCCTTACAATGTGTATGATAATCAAGTTGGGCCATTTCCAACACAAATCCTCTTGTGCACATGTATCATGATACAGTCATTAACCACATGATCACAGGCTACTGCTGAACATGCATAGCATCAGACAAGATTCCGCTGCTTTACACAAGTGACACCATGCACCACTTTTTCACACTTACACTAACTTCACTGCCAAGGCTGTCCAGAATGTTTTCACTGAAAGCGTCTCCTCTCCCATTAGTTATTCTAGTAACTTGGTGAGCAAATAGAGACAACAAATTCCCTTTTCCATCAGCAGGTCAGCCTTCCTTTGGTATAATTTGGGAATGAGGCAGTTGACCAGAAAGTGAATTTAGCTGCAAACTTAGGTGCTCAGCAAATGTTCACTATTATTCCCATGCCTGCTTAATAGGTGGGAGGATGTCCTATAAGTTTCATTTATTGTGTACTTTTCATGTAAGTGACTTTCAGGGACTGACAGGCATATACAGAGTAATGCACTTATAAGATGCTACACGTGAGCATCTCAGACTAAAAACATGAATATTTAAGGAATACAATGCGATCATGTAGAGGCTCAGATCACGCACACCTGCTGGTAGAGTCAGGGTTCTGCATGAAACTAATTGGCACTTCATGACTTGTGAGCACCCAGCCGCACAGAGTTTTTTGTATGCCATTTCCTAGATTTATTTACTTTAGAGAAAAAACACACTTCAGGAGAAGGTTGATTCTCCAGGACTTGGAAACTGCTGGCATGCAAAGTACATGTAAACTCCATAATCTGGAACTAAGTGGCAAAATATCACCAGAACAACCTGTCCCCTGGACCCTAGGAGTCCAAAGACAGGGCCCTATTCTCCCTTATGCTTTAAGAGTTGTGTAGCTAGGGAAAACATTTTCTCCCTTCCCCAGAAGCAGAGCTCCTAAGGTGCGTCCCAGAGGGGCTCCCTTCTGTGCACCTTACAAGGCGCATGCAGGATCACTATCCTCTTCGTACTTTAGCAGATTTACAGAACTAAGCTAAAGGAGAAGTGTAGTAGTTTGACTAAAAATGCACCCAGGCCATGCTCCTTCACTGGGTCTGTTCACAGATTTAGGGTTTGGTGGCTTTTTTGTTAGAAACACACCACATTGTAGAGACCTTGGTTAAATGAACAAACTGAAGGACGAAGAGGCTGAGAAATGAAGTAGGATCCAAACAGTGCAAAGACCTGCGTGATGGCATGAAAATGCTTCCAAAACAGGTACAAGTGTAACCTCTTTAGCAACAGGTAGACAGCTCAATTGTGACTCATCTGGTCCCTTTGTTACAACACAGCTACATCCTTTGCCACATTACACTCTAGGCCACTCCAGTTGATGCAATAGCATGAATCAATTTCTTGGCATCACTCTCAGACAAAAATTAGCAGATGTGGGGGAGAGAAAAGGGACGGGAGCATTGTAGCATCCAAACCACAGCCTAAGAGTCATCCTGGTGAAGGGAAACCATGTCTCCACCAAGGGGCAAGGCACAGGAGTGGGAAGAGTCTCTATTTTCAAAATTTCAAAATAATCTGATCTAAACTAACCATCCAGTTTCAGAAATTCTGGTTTTCTCTCAGCCCATGCACAGGCTGCCATGCATGTTCCAGAGTAGCCTGCATTGCTGGTCAGGGGCTCCAGAGGCCCTTTCATGCATTCAGATCACAAGCGCACACCCCATTGTGTCCTGGCTTACCTGCACTGCCCCTCCTAGCATGGCAGCCACTAGTCCCATGGACATGCTCAAAGTCTGCGCTTCCACAGTGCCCTCTGAACCCTGGGCAAGACTTGCACATGCCCGCTGCAATGTAACTGCCACAAATTCCACCACCTGCCAAAGGAAGGGAGTTTAGGGAACAGAAGAAAAGGAAAGATCACATTATTCCAGTTAGAGACACAATAATCCTTCAGCCCCTAAGCCAAGCTCTCTCATCACACCCATGGGACTGCACCCCTACGGGCTGGCCCGCCGTCTGGAAGACTGGCTGCAGTGCACTGCACGCTACAGGAGCCGAGGTCCTCTACCAGGGGCGCCAGAGAAAGACGTATTTACGTGGAAGCGGAACTTCCGATTCTTTGTTTGGCACTCACGCAGTGCTCAGTGTTGTACCATAAACAAAAACAGACCGTTCCTGCCCCAAAGAGCTCACAGTGCCGGACAGGCTGGGAGATCCAGGGGAAAAGGAGACAGTGCAGCTTTGCTTAATTTATTTATAAACTCATTTGGTGGGCACCAGGAAGCCATAGGCGTTTGAGAGATACTTTGAGCAAATTAGAAGTGTTTCTGAAGATGTGAATCCCCAGCAGCTGCTCATATATTATGAGCTTGGCCTGTCTAATTTTCTTTGCTATGAAAAGCACCTTAGCAACATTATGCCTCGATGTTCTGGCCATTTTAATTTTAACAAGGAGACCTGGCTGTCAGCACCAGGAATGCAAGGCTGCAGCCAAACCAACAGGCCTTCCCCCTCCCGCCAGTCCTTTAAATTTGAGAAAGAAAACTGATATTTCTGAAACTTGATACTTAAAATACAACACTCACATCCCCCGCCTGAGTCATACATCGCAGGTTTTAGCCCAAAGCCTAGCTAGAAACTCCTTAAAAAGCGCACACTGACAGACTGGGCTATAAACAGCAACAGTGGCTTGGCTTCTGTCAAGGCTTTCTGAGTCCTTTATTCCAAGGGAAGCAGCATTTTTCTTTGCTTCTTTGCTGCAGCCCTTCACAGTCCCTGGATGACTATAATGCAGCTCATTGCATTCACTAGGAGGCCTCTCCGAGGGCAGGAGCCCTGCAAGGTTTCCAGGGATCAGTATGTTAGCAGCCCCCCAGGAACTACCCCTTTCTGACCTTAGCTGAGCACACTGCCAGTCTCTGCAGGTGACTAGGGGTTTGTGCAGAACAAAAGGGTAGGAAGTGGGCAAGGACCGAGGAGGTGCTGGGAAACAAAGGGCATTGGACTCATCAGCTGATCACTGTTGGGAGGGATGACAGAGGAGGATTAAGGGTTCAAATACATTAGGAAAAGGCTAGGGCTTGAAATATTAACTAGGTAAATACAGAATGGGTAGGAGTTACACAGTGCAAAATATTAAGAAAGGACCAGGTTTAAAATATCCTGTAAGGAACAAATAGAAAGCTCAGTAAAACAAGGTTAGATTAACACCAGCACAAATCGAAGTCATGCTGGCTAGCTACGGGGTCAAATGGCAAAGCAGGCATTCAGCATGGATCAAATATGGTCATTGAAACAATCCTCCTCTCTCCCCTTTCCTGTAGGCTGTCTTTGACTGTAAGCGCTCTGCAGCATGGACTGTGCCCTTCTCCACAATCAGCACAGTGCTTGGCATCGTTTGAAGTATTCAGTGCATAAAGAATAATTGGTCTTTTCCAGAAACACACTGTAGGGTTTCCAGCCCCCAACAATTATTCCTTCTCTAGGCACATTTCATCTGTTCAAAGCACTCCCCAATTATGCAGAGTAAGACAAGGCCAGGGGATTAGACCTCACATGCTCCATGCCGAGTCTGCAGTCAAGAATAGGGTCAGACATTTTCCCCCATGGTTCACAACTCTCTGCAAGAAGGTTTAAAAACACACACACATTTCTTGCCCGACTGGTTTTGGCCTTCTCCATTTTGCAGCCCAAAGGTTTGATCTTCTCTTAGCTTCCTGCATTTCTAATGAGGCTTGACATTAACATGGCTCTTCTGCTCACTCCTTTGTTTGTCCACAAGCAGCACTGATGCAGCACAGCTCTGTGGAGAGGCTCATTTAACTGTTGGTGCAGAGCCAGCACGGCGCACGCGAGCGTTGGTTTGTGTTGGGCGTGGAAGACTACTGGCTATTCCTATGTCATGCAGGGCTTTCAATTCAGAGTAATGTTCTTTGGGGTAGCTCCCATTTTGGGCCCCACGGCAATAGGGCAGAGGGTATCTGGTCACCACATTTCCACCAGTTGGGGGCTCCTTCCACCCACTTGCAGCAGCTCAGGCCACCTCTGCAGCTTGGGTAACATGGGAGCGTCTGAATTCTCCCAGCGTTATTCAAACTGCAAACTGAAGGCCAGCTGGCTCTGGGAACGAGGGGCTGGGGGACAATATTGGCACTCTTATTAGCCCAGAAGAAGGTGCTGTTGGAAATGGTGCAGGAGCACCAAGTACGGCAAGGCCCCTGAGACCAGTGGTTCTCAGCCTGGGGTCCGCGGACGATGGCCAAAATGTCCGAAGGGGCCCACACCTCCAGTCCCAATTTTTTAGGGGTCCACAAACGAAAAAAAGGTTGAGAACCTCTGCTCTCGATACTCAGCCCCCGCCTCTTCCGCCAGGGTGCCCACCCGTGCACAGTGAAGCAGTGCTGGCTGGGGGAAGCTCAGAGCTACTGCGGCCTCCTTTTCCCCAAGCAGAAATCTTTGAGGTTTCAGGCGGAGATTCTCCCCTGCAGTCACAGAAGGAAACGCCCCTCCTCACTGCACCCTCACCTCAGTGCGTGAGATTCAGTCAACGGAAGGCAGCAGCCACGTCTGACTTCACGTCACACTTGCAGAAGGGGTTCAGCCAAGACATATACAGGACCCACCTCAGGGTCATTCTGTGAGCCTCAGGTTGGATGGCATTGGCCATATGCAGTGCTGCTGCCACTGCCATGCCAATGGGCTCTGCCATGACCTACCTGTACAATGTCTGTGAACACGGTGTCTGAGACGCGCTCACACAGCATGGCCACCAGCTGCAAAACAAGCAGCTGCTTCTTCTGCCCCACGAGATGCTGACTGCGGTATTGCTCCAGCTCCACCAGACTCTCACAGGAGAGAGGATCGTCATCCAAGCCGGCCTCATCGTTTGCAGCCATGTGAGTCAGCTCCTGCCAGGGAGGGGAGTGCACGGCCGTCAGAAAGAAAGCTAAATACAGGAAACTGGTTTGAGGGCACACAGGTGGGGGCACCCAGTGGGCAACCTGCCAGCAGCTAACATCCAAGAACAAGGTCAGATTTGAACAGCAGGGCAGTATCACAGAGCAGTCCGTTCTACTAAAGTAGCTGCTCGGCCTCAACCCTGTGCTGCCATCCTCACCTTAGCCCAGAATCTTCACTCCAGGTGCAAGAAGGCAGGGTTGTTCTGCACTGAGGCCTTGGGGGTTCTTCTCCAGCCATTTTCCCAAAGCCCAAGCTTTCCAAAAGGATCTCATGCTAGTTCTGTTATCCAGGCCCGGGATCTCCCACCCCTCTCCTCTTACTGCCACCACCGGCCCCAAATGCTGCAGGTGACCTCCTCACACGTATCAGGTGCAGGAACACAAAAAGCTTCCCTCTAAGGACAGTCACTTTAGGGCTGTAAATCTGCCAGGGCCTTGCTTGCCCATTTGCTTTGGCACTGGCCTCAGATACACCAGAGACCCTTTGACCTCTAGGCAAACTAGATTTTAACTGTATATTTCCTGATTTATAAAATGAACAGGAACATCGGCTGAACACATTGAGAAGGGCTTTGTGGTGGCGGGCTGTGGTGCCCAGGCACCCCGCTTGCTTAGCACAGAAGTGCACCTATGCTGCCCGTGCCCCTTCCCAGCCATACACAGCATGAGCTCTTCTGGTGGCCATTGAAAGAAGCCCAGCAAAGGAGTGCAGCACTCTGTGCACAGCAGAAGGGCCATAACACCATGGCACCAACCCCAAAGGGGGCGAGCAAGACACGGATTATACACTCTGACTGGCAGCAAAGGAGAGCAAAGCATGGCCCAGGCCTAGCAAACACTGAGGAGGGACCATGGCAGTGATTAGTCTGGATACGAAGCTGCAGGAAGAAAAGGAAACGCGGGGCGGGGAGCTGGGGAAGTGCCTTTCCTTCTCGAAAGCCAAGGAAGTGGCAGTCTGCAAAGGTAGGGATTATTCACAGCTTAAAACCCACCATTAAACTTCAGGCATGTTCCCGTTGTCAGAACAAGGGTTAAAGCTTTCACACAGAGTGAGGACTCCATGCGCCCCCTCAGGGCTTGGCGCTGGAACTGTCGGGAGATACAGCTACCCTATACCTGTAGCGGCTCTTTACCCACCACTCCCAGGAGATTTAAGTGGAACTTCCCCCTTCTCCCAGTACCCTCCCCACATGCAGCATGGGAAAGTTAACCCTCTGGAAATGCAAGGCACTTCCTGGACCCTTGCACCCAGCAGAGGCCAGGCTGCTAACAGACTGTAGCTTCTTACCTTTAAGCAGCAGATGAAGAAGTCTCCAGCTAAGCCGCTCTTCTGGCAGTGAGTCAACAGGGCCACCAACTGCTCCATCTGCCACTGCTCCGAGGAGACCTTCTGGTAGAGTTCCTCCTCCTCATCGCTGAAATGCAGCCAACGTTTCACCCAACAGGAACCCACCCAGAGTCTCTTTGGCACTGGTTTTTGAACTACCCCTGGAAAGAGCATTTCCCTGGCACATTTCATCCCCAAGTGCTGTAGGTATTTCCAGAACACTTCCAAGGGTCTTCCTTTCATCTCCCCATTAAGATGCAGCAGCCAGCACACAGCAGCGCTACACCCCAGTTTGTGACAGGAAGCAGAGAACACCGTATCCAACAGAAACGGCAGGGAAACTTTTACAGAGACAATGTTATCCGAAGATGGAATTTGGCCTGGGCACCAGGACTACGGTCCCTATTCATGCAAAAACCATGCAGGGCTCTAATGGTCAATGGTGGCCCCTGCTGCCTAGCCCATTCTTGGTGCTGCTTAAGCTAGTCAGGGGTCAGAAATCTGGTTTTAAGACTCAAACGAGCATGAAAATCACTCCCAACCCCAGTGGGAGAGACCACAGGCGGCTGAAGGTGTGCCAGCAACAGGATGGTCTGTCTGCCTTCTCTTTGGTCAACAGCATTATACGACCTCTCTTCCAGAAGAATCTCTAATCTGTTGCTGTATGCCAGAGCCTTGTCCATGTTCCTGTGAGGGAGAGTGCTGGGGTGTGAACCCATGTTCCAGATCCAGCAGGTAACTCCAGCAAGCTAAGCTCTCCTACCGACATCAGGAAGAGTTCTCAGTTGTATTTAGTATCTACCTCAGTATAAGATCCACTCCTTCCCATCCTGAATTGGCACCCTTGCTATCTCATCCAGGTTTATAATGTGGTTTCAAGCTGTAATGAGCCAAGCCTTTGGTGAGGAGTGCTTTCCATGCAACAGAATCAACGTGAAGTCCCAAAAGCCCAAGGGACTTCTGGCTTATCTGTCCAGCTTTATGTCTCAGTGTTTCCCATGCCCCCCCAGCCCACCTGTCACTCCAGGTCAGGGAAAGCTGGGGCAGCGTTTACACTGTTTCATCACTTCCAGGTTACAGCAACACCCTGTGCTGCACTCCCTGAAAGGGGACGGACGGACAGACGGTGGCTGATGAAATATCATTCAGTCTGGGGATGAAGTTGAAATGGCGGAGCATTCAGTTCACTAATTAACCTATATTCATTGCAGGGATGACCAGGGTGGAATCTATGCACACAAAATATTTAGCACATACATAACTCCTCTGTGAAGAGCTGGATGAGCATTAATTAATGAATGCAGCAGCCCTACACTTGTTTTCCCAGCATAAATGAGGGAAATAGATACACCGAGGGGAAGCGAGGCTGTGTCAACATGCAGAGTTGCACTAGTTTAACTTAAGCAGTGATTTTAAATTGATTTAGTTAAACCAGTGCAAACCCCTGTGTGACACTTATTTTAATTCTAATTAGGTTCATTCAAGTTGAAGGCACAGGTTTAAACTATACTGGAATAAGAACAGCCACGTGGGGTTCTGCACCAGTTTAACTAAATGGATGCAAGTCTGTGTGCAGACAACTCCAAACTTGACCACCCAGCAGGCCAGTGACAAAGCAGGAGTTCCTGGCTCAGCCCTGGCGTTTTCCACCAGGTAATGCTGGCTCATCGATACATGCCCCAAGCAAAAACTATTTCTTTTAAAACTGAGTGTACTGCTGGTGACGGGCTCTGTCCAGATAGTGCTGGAGCCTGCAGTCTTCCATTTACCCTCAGAGCAAACAGACCACGGGCAATGGCCGTGTAACGTCAGGCACCAACATGCCTGACCCCTATCCTGGAGGGACCATCTCCAGGAGCACCGGGGGTGTTCGGTCACTATGGCTTATTCAGTCAGTCTACAGAGGCTGTTAACAAGGGGGTCAATTAATACCATGCTGATGGTGACAGATGTCCACTCCATGCATTTCACACATGCAACCAATCAGCCATTAGCCGTGATTACGTCAGACACTACCAGTCTGGTCAGAATTTGAACCAGTGGTTCAGGAGTGAAAGACCATTTCCTACTCTCAGTCCCCTGAGCCATCCAGCCTCAAGACAAAGGGTTCCCAAGAAGAAATTAATAATGCTAATAAAAGCCAAACATGAATTTTATTACTGGTTTTGTAGGTGTATCAGGGCTAAAAGTCTGCTCCAGCTTCACACCTCATTGCTCCAGCAATGTTTGGCTCCATTTGCCTGTAAAGTTCAGGCCATCCGTGAAGTTTCACCTGCTAGAGTTTGGCACTCAGCCCAAGCCAACTGTCTATCCCTGTCTAGTGGTGACAATCCACAGGGACTACAGCATCCCCCACCACATCTTGAAACCCTCCCCCGTGCCCCACTTTCATATTCTGCACACGTTGTGGAACTTTGCATGGGCACCCCTTACTGGCTGAGCCATAAAACAGCCCCAGGTGTTGAATGACGACAGTTGTTCACCCACACCCACAGGCAGTGGGTGTAAGGCTGCTAACACAGGGTGTCATAATGTAGACTCTTACCTGATGGTCTCTTTGACAGTGATCATGGCACCACCTCCACCAGCTACTTGAAACTGGCACAGCGGATGGAGAAACTGCATGGTTCTACCCAGTCCTGCAAATCCTTCCAGCATGGAGAGCGCCACCTCTCTCTCTGACTTCTCCAAGACCCATAATAAAATCTCCTGGCATGGTGAGCTGTCAAGAAAGAGAGGCCATGACAGAGTCCATTTTCTACCACTGGCATGTTGCCTTGTAACAGACACATGGGGCAATGTAACAATGATGTTTTGTGAGCTCCAATACACAACAAACACCATCAGAGTGAGCTGGTGGCACCGGGAAGATGGCAGGTGACCACAGACACACCTTGGAAGGTTCCCTATGTGCAGTCTCACAGATACAGTAAATCCCAGGGAGGTGACAGTTATTTATGTGAGCTTATAAGGCAGCTGCAATGATTCATTGGGCCTGAAGACTGCCTGCAGTCACACTCCATGCACAGAGCTGTTTCTGCACCAAGGCATCGGAGGAGGAGGAAATTGGGAAGAGAGTGAAGTGAAGTGAGCTGTAGCTCACGAAAGCTCATGCTCAAATAAATTGGTTAGTCTCTAAGGGCCACAAGTACTCCTTTTCTTTTTGCGAATACAGACTAACACGGCTACTACGCTGAAACCTGTCATATAGCCTATAAACTCAGTAACAATTGGATGAGCTCCAGCAACTGTTTCATGAAGGTGCCAAATTCTGGAAGATTGACCAGTGCTGGGCAGCTGCAGTTCAGTTACCCTTGCTGAATTCTTGGAAAGATACAGCACCCTGGTAGCCCCACTCTCCCTGCAGCTGGTTTAGTTTGTTGTTTTCATTCTTTTAAGGAGGTTCCCCTGCACCTCTGAAATTATTAATGTCATCTTTCTGATGGCAAAGGCTGTGTCTCCACAGAGCTTTTCGTCAAAGCCCTTGTGCCTCTACTGATATTCGGAATGGTGAAAAGGCTTTGAGTAAACCTCCTGGTAACATCGTTATCAAACTGTTGTCCAACCCTTCTCAAAGCAGGCTAGGAGGAAAGTGGCAAAAACACCAACAGCTGGTCTGCACTCATGTGCCACACGACTGGTGCTACTCCAGGGGTGGAAGAACTGAACGAAGGGCTCAGTGTAAACAAAGGTTCAATGGCCAGGAGAGGAGCAGGTCCTGTGCACCTCTGGGAAAAAGGGAATCAGCTCAAACGGGAAAGAAATGACCTTTACTCCAAACAGCCAGTGGAGCACAAGGACATTCAGGTCCATATACTGGAATTTATTTAAAGTTTTCCCCCGTCCCTAAATTCCACCTGCACACAAAACACCCTCCCCGCCAAGCCCCTCGCCTCACACGCACACAGGGCTTTCTGCTGTCCCTGGGCAACCACGATCCCTCCTTCCTAGTCAGTTTCACATAGGCCAGACAGTGAACTAATTATACCCCCCAGTAATGGGGGATTCCCAGCACCCTGTAGGTAGACTTGTCACCACCTCAAAGTACTAGTTTCCAATCTACCAGGAACCAAGTCGAGCACTATATCTTCCCACACCAAGTTGGGGGGTGGTTCTGGTCTGCTGTGTGAGTCTGACATTCATAGTCAGGGCCGAGTTGGAATCTAAACTCCTTGGGGCTGCAAGCTTTGTCTTCAGCTATGTCCATACAGTGCCAAATGTAGCTCTGGTGCTCGGCACAGGAGTGTCTTCTGGACACTTCCATCTCTACCCAGCACAAGGCACAGATTTCGCTGTCTTTTACAGCTGGGCACCAAGCGGGGAGGATTCCCCCACCCCAGGATACAAAGCTTTACCACTTCACCTAGCAGAAGGGTTTTGCCACATGCCTTACCGTAAGTGTGACACGTTCTGCTTGGTGAAACAATAGAGAGAGAAAATCACTCCCAGAGCTGGCTGCAAGGATTCCAGCAACACGTCAGAGGGCTCATTCCCAACCACATACACCTACGGAGACAGAAAGGTCAAATGTCTGCCTGGAGTGCAGAGGAAGAGAAGGGTGAAAGGCACATGCATGCCTGGTAGGGACTGACTTCTGAATGTACACTGTGCAGGTTACTGCTCCCAGCCCTTCCAATTCTGAGTCCATATCCCTTGATCACACCAGACTCCTGTTTGCTAATAAGCACTGAAAGCAGCCTTCATCAGCACCATCTTCTCCAGAGTCATCTAGGAACTGCCAGAGCTAGCTACAGTAGGGCTTCATGCTATTCGTATATTACAGCCAGTTACTCAGGACGGCTATCACTCAGGGGTAGGGGATTAAAACTACAGACTGCAGTATTTGAAGAGACAAGTCTTTATAAACATACTGCATCCAGAGCCAAATTCCCACGGTCAAACAGATCAGTCCCTCGAAAGCAAAGGCTGGAAGGCAGCTGGGCTGCTATGTGCGGAGTGAGATATCCAAGGAGAAGGCAGAGGGCCCCCGACTCAGGCTGCTGACAGGCAGCACTTAGAGGAGACTTCAGAGTGACACTTTCTCCTCCCTCCCTTTATTTCCAAAAGGCACCTACCCAGAGCTCTGTACCCGGATACATTTCAAAAACCATCATAACCGCCCTCAGCAACTTCTCCCCACCTCCAGACCAGTTACCAGCCACACAAATCACCCCATATCTCCCTTCCCTGCCCCAAAGCCCAGGGAGAGAGATCCTGAAAAATCTTACACTTTACAGGTTTGTTTTGAACTATTTCTCTAAAAACCCTCATAGGATGGCTACAGTTATATCAGGTTTCAGAGTAACAGTCGTGTTAGTCTGTATTCGCAAAAAGAAAAGGAGTACTTGTGGCACCTTAGAGACTAACCAATTTATTTGAGCATGAGCTTTCGTGAGCTACAGCTCACTTCATCGGATGCATACCGTGGAAACTGCAGCAGACTTTATATATACACAGAGAATATGAAACAATACCTCCTCCCACCCCACTGTCCTGCTGGTAATAGCTTATCTAAAGTGATCATCAGGTGGGCCATTTCCAGCACAAATCCAGGTTTTCTCACCCTCCACCCCCCCACACAAATTCACTCTCCTGCTGGTGCTAGCCCATCCAAAGTGACAACTCTTTACATAATCAAGTCGGGCTATTTCCTGCACAAATCCAGGTTTTCTCACATCCCCCCCACCCCCATACACACACAAACTCACTCTCCTGCTGGTAATAGCTCATCCAAACTGACCACTCTCCAAGTTTAAATGCAAGTTAAACCAGAACATCTGGGGGGGGGGGGGGGATAGGAAAAAACAAGAGGAAACAGGCTACCTTGCATAATGACTTAGCCACTCCCAGTCTCTATTTAAGCCTAAATTAATAGTATCCAATTTGCAAATGAATTCCAATTCAGCAGTTTCTCGCTGGAGTCTGGATTTGAAGTTTTTTTGTTTTAAGATAGCGACCTTCATGTCTGTGATTGCGTGACCAGAGAGATTGAAGTGTTCTCCGACTGGTTTATGAATGTTATAATTCTTGACATCTGATTTGTGTCCATTTATTCTTTTACGTAGAGACTGTCCAGTTTGACCAATGTACATGGCAGAGGGGCATTGCTGGCACATGATGGCATATATCACATTGGTGGATGTGCAGGTGAACGAGCCTCTGATAGTGTGGCTGATGTTATTAGGCCCTGTGATGGTGTCCCCTGAATAGATATGTGGGCACAATTGGCAACGGGCTTTGTTGCAAGGATAAGTTCCTGGGTTAGTGGTTCTGTTGTGTGGTATGTGGTTGTTGGTGAGTATTTGCTTCAGGTTGCGGGGCTGTCTGTAGGCAAGGACTGGCCTGTCTCCCAAGACTTGTGAGAGTGTTGGGTCATCCTTTAGGATAGGTTGTAGATCCTTAATAATGCGTTGGAGGGGTTTTAGTTGGGGGCTGAAAGTGACCGCTAGTGGCGTTCTGTTATTTTCTTTGTTAGGCCTGTCCTGTGGTAGGTAACTTCTGGGAACTCTTCTGGCTCTATCAATCTGTTTCTTTACTTCTGCAGGTGGGTATTGTAGTTGTAAGAAAGCTTGACAGAGATCTTGTAGGTGTTTGTCTCTGTCTGAGGGGTTGGAGCAAATGCGGTTGTATCGCAGAGCTTGGCTGTAGACGATGGATCGTGTGGTATGGTCAGGGTGAAAGCTGGAGGCATGCAGGTAGGAATAGCGGTCAGTAGGTTTCCGGTATAGGGTGGTGTTTATGTGACCATTGTTTATTAGCACTGTAGTGTCCAGGAAGTGGATCTCTTGTGTGGACTGGACCAGGCTGAGGTTGGTGGTGGGATGGAAATTGTTGAAATCATGGTGGAATTCCTCAAGGGCTTCTTTTCCATGGGTCCAGATGATGAAGATGTCATCAAGATAGCGCAAGTAGAGTAGGGGCTTTAGGGGACGAGAGCTGAGGAAGCGTTGTTCTAAATCAGCCATAAAAAAGTTGGCATACTGTGGGGCCATGCGGGTACCCATAGCAGTGCCGCTGATCTGAAGGTATACATTGTCCCCAAATGTGAAATAGTTATGGGTAAGGACAAAGTCACAAAGTTCAGCCACCAGGTTAGCCGTGACATTATCGGGGATAGTGTTCTTGACGGCTTGTAGTCCATCTTTGTGTGGAATGTTGGTGTAGAGGGCTTCTACATCCATAGTGGCCAGGATGGTGTTATCAGGAAGATCACCGATGGATTGAAGTTTCCTCAGGAAGTCAGTGGTGTCTCAAAGGTAGCTGGGAGTGCTGGTAGCGTAGGGCCTGAGGAGGGAGTCTACATAGCCAGACAATCCTGCTGTCAGGGTGCCAATGCCTGAGATGATGGGGCGCCCAGGATTTCCAGGTTTATGGATCTTGGGTAGTAGATAGAATATCCCAGGTCGGGGTTCCAGGGGTGTGTCTGTGCGGATTTGATCTTGTGCTTTTTCAGGAAGTTTCTTGAGCAAATGGGTTTCTTGAGCATCACAGGGCCTAATAACATCAGCCACACTATCAGAGGCTCGTTCACCTGCACATCCACCAATGTGATATATGCCATCATGTGCCAGCAATGCCCCTCTGCCATGTACATTGGTCAAACTGGACAGTCTCTACGTAAAAGAATAAATGGACACAAATCAGATGTCAAGAATTATAACATTCATAAACCAGTCGGAGAACACTTCAATCTCTCTGGTCACGCAATCACAGACATGAAGGTCGCTATCTTAAAACAAAAAAACTTCAAATCCAGACTCCAGCGAGAAACTGCTGAATTGGAATTCATTTGCAAATTGGATACTATTAATTTAGGCTTAAATAGAGACTGGGAGTGGCTAAGTCATTATGCAAGGTAGCCTGTTTCCTCTTGTTTTTTCCTATCTCCCCCCCCCCCCCAGATGTTCTGGTTTAACTTGCATTTAAACTTGGAGAGTGGTCAGTTTGGATGAGCTATTACCAGCAGAAGAGTGAGTTTGTGTGTGTATGGGGGTGGGGGGGATGTGAGAAAACCTGGATTTGTGCAGGAAATAGCCCGACTTGATTATGTAAAGAGTTGTCACTTTGGATGGGCTAGCACCAGCAGGAGAGTGAATTTGTGTGGGGGGGTGGAGGGTGAGAAAACCTGGATTTGTGCTGGAAATGGCCCACCTGATGATCACTTTAGATAAGCTATTACCAGCAGGACAGTGGGGTGGGAGGAGGTATTGTTTCATATTCTCTGTGTATATATAAAGTCTGCTGCAGTTTCCACGGTATGCATCCGATGAAGTGAGCTGTAGCTCACGAAAGCTCATGCTCAAATAAATTGGTTAGTCTCTAAGGTGCCACAAGTACTCCTTTTCTTTTTACAGTTATATCAACAACTCTACAGACACCCAGTGCAGAAGGCTATAAGAAATAAAAAGCTGATTAGTTACACAGTTACAATTTCAGAGTCTGTGCATTTTTTAAGGTAAATTTCCAATTAACAGGTATGTGGGTTTGTTAAAAATGTTTTTACTGGGAGGGTGCCAGGAAGAGGCAAACAAAATATCGACCCTGTTAGCAAGCTGTTTGAATGATCTTCAACTCAGCAGCTGGGACACTGTGCTGCTTGGAGGACACTGTTCCTTTAAACAAGATTATTCCTTCCAGCTCCAGATTCCCCTTTCAGCTGGAGGGCAAGCAGCAGTTCTTAGGGTTTGATCTAATCTCAGGGCTCACTTCCAAGCGTTGCTATTGCCTGTCAAATGCAACATGCCAGCCCAGAGTGAGAAAGCAGTTTAGGTGAGGAAAGAGATTCTTTTGATAATATTTTGGCCTATTGTTTTGATGCAGAGAGTTTTGCCCATGCTAATGCCTGTGGAGCCGTGCTTCCTAACCAGCATCTTTGGTATACAAAGGAGCGTTTCCCACTCTAGCATCAAATGATACTTGCTAGGCAAAAAACCTGCACACTTGCAAGCAGAAGTCTCCATTGTTAATCTCTCTGCTGTCAGGACTAAAGCACACTGCCACTAATGAGGGACCCACCCTCTAGGAGGTTAGTGGATCCCTCATCCCCTGCAGCTAGAATGAAGCTTTAGATGGGAGTCTAAAGTGATTCACTTTCATGTTCTTGGAACTACTTCCTCTGCAGATCTTTTTTAATAGATTTTAAGGCCAGAAGGCAGGGCTGGATTTAGGGGCAGGCAACCCAGGTGACAGCTTGGGGGGTGCTGTTTTTGTCATTAGTGGCAAAAGGGAAAATAGAACATTTAAAGTAAAATGTTTCAGGTATTCCATATGTGGCTTCATTGTGGAGGCATTTTCATAATGAACACCAGCCACAGAACAGCCCCCTGACTGGTCTCTGCCTGCCAGCTAGTTATAACATACTACCCAAAACAGTACAACAATCACAGCGTTTAAAACAGGGGTAGGCAAACTTTTTGGCCCGAGGGCCACATCTGGGAATAGACATTGTATGGCAGTCCATGAATGCTCACAAAATTGGGGTTGAGGTGCAGGAGGGGGTGATGGCT